TATAAAAATTCTGCTGTTAAGGATTTATTTGTACAACAATACGTGTCTCACGGTGATCTGAATCAACTAGTGTACATACATATATTATATATGGTAGATATAAAGTGAAATAAAATCCGTTATAGAAAGTATTCATGTAAGGCAACTAAAAAGAGATTTAAAACAGTAAAAAACCCTTGAAAATTACACTGACCGTAGTAAAATATAAATAGATTGCTATGATTGAATTGAATTAGCAGTCATCGGGTCTCCGAAAACTATTTTCATTAAACTGTTAAATGCGTTGTACGGTTAACAACGGAACAAATAATTATTATAGACAGATGACCAAACCTAGACCGTAATGCTAAAATTACAATTGTAAGACATTATTGTAATTTCAATGCCTTTATCGATATTTCGTAGCACCAAAGCAGGCTTAGGTAATGTGTTTAATGTAATTCCCAGATTTCTTATTCTACAGAAAATAAGGGCCCTAATTTTATAGCTAAAAAAAAATGAAACACTTAAGATAATTTTTTTGTGAATTGATATATGTTGAATGTTGATGTCATCGTAACCGTACAACAATTTATGTATTTTTAGTTGATAAACAATGATTACCCCAATATTCTAATGATTATTTAAGTGCGTGTATTAAGCATTGAATCAAACCACGCGGTCATCGGATCAGCCATCTCAAAATTTTTCTAAATCAACTACTATTGGTCTAATATAATATCTTAATTTTTTGAAAATTTTATCACTCATATTTACCCCAAAAATAGAGGTTTTATATGTTATTTTTCACGAAAAATCTATTTCGACCCGTTTTAAAATTCTAAAACTTTTATCATAAAATCATAAATAAATAAAAATTTATTTAAATTTTTTTTAGTAATAAAATTTTTTCTTTTTTCAAAATCTGAAAAAAATAATGTATAATTTTATTTTTTATTTTTTTTGTAAGGCACATTTAAAAAAAATCAAATTATACTAAGACACTTGAATGACTTTTACATTCCACTTTTAGTCTAGTCGACTCAGCAAAGTGTAAAGGAGAGACTTTACTAACTAAAAAATGCAGCATGTGTATAAATATAACGCACTTCTTTGGATCCCATAATTAAGTTTATGTATAAAGGTATGATAACGAGAAACACTGATACTCGTGGACGTTTTTCGGCTAACATTATTTAGTATAACAATGTAATAGTACTAAATCAGTCAAGACAAACGACGGTATTCAACTGCAGTTGTGTATTTATTCAAAACTCAAAATCAATGCCGTATTTTATTGGATTGCCCGAGGTCTTTACGTTCGGTTGAGCACATAATCCTAATTTCCATGCTGCAAAATAAAAAAAAAGTATGTTTTAAAAAAAATTTCCATTTTTCACCAAGCCGGTCGGTAAATACGATACAGTACCTTCGCTCTTCCACCAAGTTCCAAGAGTGAGTCTACCGCCGTAATCGATTTTCACGCCCACCGAATTAGCATCCGAGGGCTTGTACAAAACTCCAAGTTCGTTTGATTCGTGAGACCACGACGAGAACCTCCAGTTGGTCGTTAGGCGAGCTGCAATCTCAAAATTCTCATTCACCTTCCACGCGCCGGTCGTCACCATGACGTCGTTCGGTTTCCTGTACATTGTAAACGTTAGATTATTATCAAAGTTCGCTCAGGTTGGGTTAAGGTTGGACTTGAGTTGGGCCATAGATTAAATACACTATGGATAAACAATATATGTGCCACACGTTTCCACCACCCTTCCCGCCACTGAGCGCTCCCAAATCCACACTAAAACATTTGTGTCGTATGCGTTTCCTATCCATAACATATGGGGGCATTGTTTATCTGTATAGTATATTTGTAATTAATGGTTAGGCCTATCCTGAATTAGCGACTTCAAGAAAAGAGCGGGGAGGAGAATGTGGTTGGGAAAAGGGCAAAAAGAAAAGAGGAGAGAAAAATAAACGAACACAAGAGCCATCCCTAATTTATATGGTTTTGAGTAATTGCAAAAAGAAGTTTACATAAGATTTGTAATTGAACTTTATATTAATGCTCTTTGGGCATAGCACAGTGTCGACACATTTGAAATGACTGCATGCGGTTTTCCGGTTATATTACAACTCCTTGGCGTAGGTGCCAGGGTAAAGCTAACTGGCGTTTTTCTTGTCAATACACGGTTGCAAATTTACTTGTTTTTACTTACACATCAAATCGTATTGTGGTGGTTGGGAATACGGCGCCAAACGTGGCGACTTTGTGTAAACCGCTCAAATTCAAACTGCCGGAAGCGGACTTCTTCATTTCGAATCCTGCTAGCAAACCTACGGAGTCGAACTGATGGCCAAACATCGAGGAAAATTTCATGCTGGTCGGATCTATGGCCGGCGTCACGAAGCCCTCGAGGCCGGCGTTCATCACCACGGCCGGATGACTGAACAGCCCGGAAGCGTATATGCATTTATTGGTATTGCTGAAAACCAAGTTCAAAGCAACAGTCAATACCCGCGGGGTTGACGATGAGATGAGAAAATATGTTTAGGTACATTTGCTTAAAGCCGACGTCGGTGGACAAGGATTCGTTGATGTTGTTTTTCACACCAATAGTGAAATCGCGCATAGTCGCCCCAAAGTAAGGATTCCAATCTAAACATATAATCATTCACTATAAATAATAGTTCCTGAATAGCAGGTGCTCCACCAGGCTGGCGACTTTTTGTCATTTGAAATAATCACTGACCTCCTTTCCAAGATCCTTTAACATCTAGATCGATTAGTTCGTTGTCGTTGGTGGTGGATAATTCGACTTTCACTTCTTTTCCTTCGTCTCCCGCTTTTTTGACCACCCTAATTTTGTTCAGCAAGTAGTTGTTCAACACACCACCAGGCTGTTTCACCGTTCTGTCAACTATCGATTTCGTTCCTTGCGCGTCTTGGTTGGCCTGTAAATAAGCTAGCCCGTTTAGTAATATGAATATAATAATTATTATAATATTATGTAGGTCGGCTACCTTGTCGGCTTCACCGTCGGCTTTGACATCAGTTACTGGTCTCTTTACTGCGTTTCGACCACCAAGGAGGCCATTGAACGTGTTACTTAGAAAAAACATTATATTTACAACGGCAATGTGCTCTATCAATTTAGTTTAAAAACATACCCGCGTGTACGATTAACTGTGATGGATTATAAACAAACAAATAATCGCCAAGACTTTATCGAGTAGAGCGAACATTTGTATTTACTGTGTACGAGCCAGCCAACAATATAATAATAATAAATTAATCAACAATAAGATTGTCGTTATAAGTCGTAACGCGCTTGTATACGTATATTTTTTTAAATCGAATAAATGTAAGGTTTGTATTGTCGGTCATGTGTACTGTAGAAAACAGAAAATTATTCTTTCGTTATTTATCTCATTTTCTACTTCAAATATCAAGGAAATTACTAGAAATGTAGCAAAATTACATTGGGCTACCTACCCAACATTGAAAACCCACTTATGGCAAGTTATAGGAAGTAAAACAAACTTTACATAATTTCGGTAAAAACAAAACGAATCGTTTATTTGTGAAATAAATAGACAATGTCACAGTTTTGTTGACAATGACTTTTTTTTAATAAAATATATGTTCTGTGGCCATAAACGGATCTTTTTTTTTTTTGAAAAGAGACAACTCGTATGATAGTTAATTTTATTATGGCGATTCAAACAATTAGTTAAATTTAATTAAAATGTAAAGTCAGGAAACAAAGTTCCTGTTAATGATTTATATACTTGAAAAGTCATAATAAAATATATTGGTATTGTAGTTTTGTTGGATATCACTCTATTGCGCACAATACCATTTATGATTTAGTAATTTTATTTATGAAATGAGTTAAGTACCTCGTTTGTTTATGAAAAGGGCCAAATTCGTTAAACTAAAACTCTTACTGTTGGTCGCAAAAAAAATTTGAAAAATCGGTATTCTCAAATTTTAAGTTTAGTGCATAAGAATTAAAAATATTTTGACAAAAACAGTTGTTATTTATTTGCCGAAAATTTAACTTTTTGAACTAAACCCCTTTCATAAATAATAGTCTGGTCAATCTTTTTTTTTTTTTTACTAAAGTGATGAACGCTGCTGGATCGGTCATTGATATCATACAAGATTATCATGTTTATCGGTTATTTGTCCTGTTATGTCTTGAAAATAATAATAATAATAAAAACTGTGAAAATGTTCTGTGTATTTGCAATTCATATTGATTAAGGGGATTGGAAGAGGGCGGTTTTTAATGAGTATAATATATAAGAAAAAGTGGTTTTAATGAAATCAAAATTCCATTTCCGACTTGACTTAGTAGAGTAGACCTTCATGTAACTGTTACACTAAAAACGGACCGTCCTGGGTAGTGGGGAAATGTTGTCAGGTTTCGAAAACGTCGAAAAACCGACCGCTTTCAATGGCCTTAATAATTTTATATTTAAAATATATTCCGTAGTTTTAAGAACTCAAATTGTCTGTGACCATACATCGATTGATGTAGTTTTTCTTGCAGAGGGGGAGGGGGTGGGGTTAAGAGAAGAAAATTAAAAATTAAATAATTCAGCTTTTCGTCCGGTAACAAAACCATACTTCTCCGACGACAAACGCGCGTTTCATCCCCTTTTACCTCGTCGTAAAAATGTATTACCATTGTCAAACGAAATTATTATTCTTTGTTGACATTTTTTCAAAGCTAAACCAATGCAATTACTTCAACCGTCGTATTCAATCGCAATGTTCGCCCCGGCAGCCTTGGCATTACGCGCTCACTTGCCGCCTTTGCCACCTGTAATAAATAATCAATACAGGATTTTGTCGCTGAAGTGTGCGCACTGGTACTATCTTTAGCCGCCGCACCCCAGCGCTGTAGCAGACATGATCGATTGCAGCATCCCTTGTGCAACCACCACTCCAAGCCGGGCTCAGTCTTGTCCGTTGCTTGGCGAAACTCGACGTGGACTTGCGAGACAAAGTTATGGAAAGCAAAATCATATGCGTACCAGGTAAGACGTATTTTGTTATTGAATTTTTTACCTTATTTATTAAAGGCTTCGCGCGCCACGCAGAGCACTTAAAACGTGTTAAATCTTTAATAAAAAATCTCTAAAAAAAACCTAAAAACTACGCAGGTATTTAAACTGCACCGTCGCGGGTTCGCACCGAGAATTAGCTACGTTATTTAATTTTTTTTTCTTCTACTGTACAGGGTGGTTACAAAAGAATACCGCAGCTTTCGGTATCTTATTCATTTGTAATCGTCCTGTATTCATAATTATTTATTACCATTGCTATTGTTGTAATTATAGTCATTAACGCGACGGCTTGACAAACGTGCCGGAATAACACCGCTATCCTGTAAAATTGCCATTTTCTTAATGCAGCTTTAAAAAAAAAAAAATGAATTAGTCGAATTAAAATGTATATATTATATTTAATGCTGATTTATAATACTTTAAAACTGCTTTGTTGTATGTATATGTGTATTGACTTGAACACTATTGAATAATATTGATTATATATTTAGTAATAAGTAATGAAATATGATAAATAATAATAACACAGCGTCACGCGTTCCTCACAAATATACAAGGGCCAAGGCTATATATACTGAGTACAAAAATGTATGTATTTAACATTGTTGCTGCTCTTTATGGAATTTTCCATACTTTCTTGTTGCACAACATTTCAAATGCTGCAATCTGGTTTTCCTAACCATCTTTCAATGTACCTACTACTAGCCATACTAGCAGCTTGTTATTTTGACATAAATATGTCTAATGGCTGGGGGTCTCTTAAAACTATAAATCATGTTTATCATTCAACGTGTTTCCTTCAATGGAAAAACTAACCATAAAATAGCAGCTTATTATTTTCTTTTTGAGACTTAATTTCTGTCTTTTAATTTAGTACTGTTGTATAGATTCCGCTTTTCAAACTAGCTAACTAGCTAACTCCTTAAACATGTTTTACACGCAAAATAAAAGTGGCGATATGACGTTTTGAAGTATGCTTTTTGGCTTTTTTTATATTAATAGTACTCGTATATGTTAGCTTTGATGCAAAGCTGAGAAGGTATTGTTCTTACAGTAATGTATTAAAATTTTTTTCATCTACACTCTGGACTTTTATCTGGCGATATCTTTTAAATTAAAACACTGGACCGAATTTTTCATTTAGCAAGGACCCGTAGCCTTCAAAATCGAGAACAACACTTTAAGCATTTACAACATTTTCATTATTAAGTTATGGAACGCTTTGAAAAATGGTCGAATTTGTGCAGGATACTCTTTAGATATAGTACTACCTAAGAGTTGAAAGCTTTATATATATATTTAGTTATTTTAGATGTAGTTTTTGGACTCGGGTCTGAACCTTTGTCAAAAACCTTAAAAACGATTCCAATGACAATAATTTCAACAAAATTCAATATTGTTTCTATTATTGTTATACCACCTGTTGATGTTTACTTGTTGCGGTTAAAGTTGATAAAGTTTAGCCTTTGTACTGTCCAACTTGGCGTGAAAACGGCGACACCGATTTCGGTGCGGTTTTTTGATAATTATCTTTGAAGTCCGCATTGTTTTTTAGACTTTATTTAAGCCCATTGGTGCAACTAGAAGGAGGGAAGAGGTTAGGGGAGTTCAAAACTCGTTCAGGCTTTAAAAAAAATGTCAGCAACCAATCAGGCACAGTCTCCGAGTAAGGTTTATAATATTTAATTCAATTCTGAAGGAGATTTCAGAGTTTTCAAAAGGTCTGAACTTCCTTGCCCGCTCCGCCCCCCCCCCTATCTCTCTAGTTGCGCCAATAGACGTAAACCCTCAAAAATTCCTCATAAATATTATGAAAAGATTATAAAATATCAGACAAGAGGTTAACAAATACTAATTGGCTTATTTTTATACAAATATTGCTGAGGGGGTGTTTATAAGCATAGTCACGGTCAACTGCATTGGCGTTTGTAAAAGTAAACTAAGCTCAATTTTGGTATTTAACATTTTGGTAATACTTTTTTGTCAAAGTTAAATAATTATATATAGTTACACATGAAAAGGACATTTAACGGGAAATACAAATTACAAGTAATACTAATGCAAATATTTTGGTTGACTCCGAGTTAGATGGTAGATCTCAGTGGTCTAGTCAGGTTTTTCCATTATTTTTTAAACTTTGCATTATTTGTCAAAAGTTGAATGATTGTAAATACTACTACTAATGCTTTAACACCGTATGTAAAACCAGGATGTAACACCTAGTTTTCAATATTTTAAATTTAGGCTTGTACACAGGGTGATCCAATATATATACATGGTAGAATGAAACACTTTATTTTTCGGTAATTATAATACATTTTTAGTCTTTCTTTTTTTTGAAAATATTTTCGTCAGTTCTTTTACAGTACATTCACAATTATTAAAGTTAACAACATACATGCGTTATCGTTATTTAAAAAAAGAATAAAATGAATATGTAATCATTCTCTTTTTATCGACAAACCTCACCCCCCCCCCCCCCAAAAAAAAAAAAATAATAACTGAATTATCAACACTTTTATGTTTTAGCTAACCACTGTTTCGATTTGAAGCGTTTATTTGACAGTTGTTTTATCACTTTATTAGAATCCCCGAGAACCTCCCTATGTAACGACCCAATCGTGCTGGCTTTTTTTTATTTAAGATGAGACAACATTTTTTCAAAAAAAAATAACGTAGAATTTCACTTTTATAGATTGTCTTTACATATTATTTGAGCTTAGCAACAGGACGTATTTAAATTTTGGTATGGTCTGGCTTCTAGTTACGATGTTCAGTAAAGTAAAGCAATTAGAGTACACCAGCTATTGTTTGTTAATTCCGATCGTTATTGAATATCCGTTATATTATGACCAAATAGGACAAAAGTTATGTCGAGTAGATCCGTCGTATATTTTGGGCAAAGGAACTTACGAGAGGGATCACTTCATCTGTTCTAGTTTAGCAGGAATCGTTAATATAAATAAGAACAACGGAGTAAGATAATATTGCATCTATATACTGTTAAGTGCGTTTATTAATTAGGCTGTACATTTTTTTTTCAGGTAACCGTTATTGAAGTCGTTGGTAAAAATCAGCTTGTAGTGCCAGCACCAGGAAATACTGTTACAGCTCAGGTTCGTTGACTAAACTAGCGGCTGTTAAATATTTGTTTTTTAAAATATGTAAATATATATATATTCGAAGGTGGTAAAAATAAGTAGGCAATTATGCAAATGTCGAATTATGAGTGTTGATGGATACGATTTAAACCAAAATTACAGAGCGTGTTTGAAAAAAGAAAATATCCGTTCTAAAGAAATCGATCAAGTGGACATAGCACAGTGCTTTAGGCCAGGAGATATAATTTTAGCTAAAGTTGTAAGTATTGGACAGTACCGTTTTATACGTTTAATGATTATGCTGTGGCGTGTAATTTTTGAAAAATACTTCCATCCTATTTCGTTACAGCTTCCCATAGAAGAGGCCAACACATTTAGATTGACGACGGCTAAAAACGAACTCGGAGTGATTTTAGCAAACAGTGAATTTGGTAGGTAAACCAGAGTTGGTCATTTTTAAAACAAAATTCTATTTTAATAAGTTACTAAAAAAAAATTGTTTCACTAATAGATTACACCTATTTTAATAGAATAATCGATTCTATTCTCGTTATCGACTACTAAAATTATTCGATATCAATTTATTTGGCTATAAAGTAATTTTTTTTTTGTTAAATAAACTATAATACTTAATACTGAATATTATATAATTACTTTATAAACTATTTAAATTAAAAGTAAATGTTATAACCAGTAAAAAAATTGTTATTTAATTAGTTTTTTATCATATTGTATTTGTATCGTGAACAATTAAATGAAATACATTTTTTTTATTCCAATAAAATGGACCTAAGCCACTAGTGTAAGTTATTGTTATAAGTTTATATTCTATTAATTTATTACTAATAAAAAAATCAATTTTTAGGACACCCGATGATCCCAATAAGTTGGACAGAAATGCAATGTACAGTAACAGATACAGTGGAACGTCGTAAAGTTGCTAAGACTGTGCAAAAACAGAACTAAATTCACCTACAAGTTGCAGAAGTGTACATCGAGTTTTTAATAAAAGGTTATAATTAATTTTTATTAGTATGATGGTAATATAGAAATTTAAGCTATTAAAACACCAGTAATATCGAGTTAGCGTTAAAAGTAAAAGCTGAGAGTACATTTGTCGTTTAGAATTATTGTTTTGGGTATTATGAGTTTCCAAAAAAAAAAAACAACGGTAAATCATTGTTATTACATTGCTATTACTCATACCCGTTTTTCTTGGTATTAGATGAATTTAAATGGAACACAAATAGCGATACACTTGTAGTTTTAGTGGATAGAAATATAGACCAGAGTGTTTGGTCGAAAGCAATCGAGGGGGGGCGTTAGAGAAAACTAGCCTGAGCAGGTCCTAAAATGTATACTTGAAATAATTGAAATTTCATAATAAGGAGGTTTAAAAAAATGAAGTGTGAGGTTAGAGTTAGCAAAATTAAAAAAAAAATTGGGAATAAATATAAAAGAGATATTTTATGAGCTACACCAACAACAGGGGCAACGCAAAGAGGGATGCATATGAAATGGTGAAATCAAGTAAAAGAGGTTGTTGTAGAGATATTTAAAGGTAGTGACCAAACCAAAAGTGAGTGTATTAGTTATTAAATAATAAGCGTTTGTAAAAAATGAACGTAGTACAGTGTGAACTATGAAATGGTAAAAATATTTACATACATTTCCCATAGAGCACAAAAAATAGTTGTCTATTTTCTAAAATATAATATATTTTTTTTGTTGTTCGTGTTATTGAAAGGTCGTATAAATTGAGGTTGTCGCGACACTATTGTGTGCTGTGCGTTTAGTACATATATTTTAACAATGCACTTGGGTGAATTTAATATTTTAATATCTCCAATAATTGTTAGCTTCCGCAGGGGTACTCGCGCCGTGTACGTTCTCTCAATTTATTTAATTTAAATCCTAGCGTGGGTATTAGTTGTATCGAACACTACAATATTCAGTGTGACCTTAATTGTGTCTAGTTAATATTGCAAACTTCCACCGTTTAACCGAGTTAACCGGTCGGTCAATGGTCGCTGAACAATAATATTTTATTAATATAATAATATGTGCGTCCTCCACCTGCTCGACAAAAGCGATGAGAATTTCCATTTAAAAAGTTTATTTTTAATTAAAATGCCATTGAGCACACTTGTCGGAGTCGTTTACATTTGGCTTTTGTCGTCTGAAATCGTTTTTTATTGGTACAACAGCAATATAGCTTGTATTGTTTGCTCTTCCTCATTTCAACAGCAATAATAATTTGTTACATTGCCAACAACTGCGTAATATACCATACTTCTGGATTTTTTTTTTTTATTGAGTTTACTTGTGACTGATTTTAGTAATTTTTCAATATCTTTATCCGCCTTGCAGTAAAAATTAAAAAAACTGTTACATTTTTTCAATATTATAAACAAATTTAGAAAGGTTTAAAAAACCAAGTAAACCCCACGACCAATTCAAATGTTTTCAGATTCTTTAATGGATTATTCGGTGGGTCGCATCGGTTAAGTTAGAAAATATGAAGTCATTAAGATAAAAACATTATTTTAATTAAATGTTCAAGTGTTAGGGCTAAATAAATTCTACGAATAAAAAAGATATAGAAAATTCCTGTTTCCAATCCTATTAAAATATGTAGTTATTATGAACGGGTTTTTTCTGTTGTTTATTTTTAAATAAAGCTAACAAAGTAATTTATTCTATTTACCATACAAATAATATTGTGCTGTAATTAGTAATACAATTCGAAGTACCTCTTAATTTACAATCTTGTTTTTCTTTTTATTTGGGTTTCCTAAAACTCTTAATACTTTTATGTACGAATAATCTAGACACAACAAAGTAAATAATTAACGTATCAAACATTTTTCCAAAATGTTTTATAACAAAAACTTAAAACTAACTATTATCAGAAAACAGAAATCAGGTTTCTTTTTTAGAAAACTTGATACTTAATAGTGTTGTATTTTTTTTAAGAGTATAACAAACACTTATTTTGAAAATTATTTTGCTCATCCAAAACAAATCATAGTTTTGACCTGAATACGAAATACTTTTGGAACTACTTCAAAAAGTTCCATTTTATCAGCTAACTGTGGAACAGATATATTTAGAAGTTTTTAAAATTAAAAGCCCAAGATCTATCAATTTTACATGAACTTTCATTAAAAAAATTCAAAATGTAAGTTACTATCAATAGACAGGATCTTAGACAGTAGAAATTTCTGTGTAGCTTATTTTGAAACTTCAAAATTATTTCTTGTTCAAATAGAAGATAATCAAAAAACTCGATCCTTGTTTTAGGCAAAAAGTGATTAATAGTGATTATTAGGCTAATCATTTTTTTAATTAAAATGTTTAAGTTCCTTAAGTTTTTATAAGTGATATAATATAAGGGTACTGGGGTTGCAATGGTAGACATTATAGATAGAGCATTTTTTCATTAGTTAATATCATGAACAACGGTTCTTGCTAACGGTTTGCTTACACTAAATTAATCAATACAAAATAAAATGATATACTGAATTAATTGTAATGACTAACACAAAGTGCGTTTATAGCTGTTAAGAAGGCTAAGAATAGGTAACTACCGCAATAACGGTATATTTACAACGCTGACTTATCAAATGTGTATTTGATCAAAATTAATTCGAAATAAACCAAATGAAATTAAACCAACCCATTAAATGGTAATAAATTAGGTGAAACTATAAAGTTTTCGTTGAAAAATCTAAACGTACCTAGAAAAATGGATTTTTGAGTCTCCTGGAAAAAAAACCAAAATTTGTATTTGGGCGCTTGGTCTAATGAACCTCTTAGTTTTATTTCAAATTCGAGTGGCTGACCATTTTTTTAACGATTTATTTTATTGTTTTTTAGGCAAACAAGTCGGTGTGTCCGTGATAACTTGTACATCACAATGGTGCCCGACTTCACTGAACGCGAAATTAAATTTTTCAATATTCTGCTCAGAAATATCTCCCAAAGCCTCGACGCCACGTACGAGGAAATACAGAGAGGTGTCATAACAAATGCCAACATGCCACTGAACGAAATACTATTGAAAACCAACACGGAGCTGACCGTTCCCTATTCGGTTCATGTGATCCATCGATTCGAGTATAGCCTGAAAATGGCCGTATACGAATTGATGAATCAACCGGAACCGTTCGTGTGCTCCAGTATATTGTATTTGGCGAGAAATTCAAAACACCCCATTCACCTGTTGTATTACCCCATGTATAAGTTTCAATGTTTGGGTGTGTTCGAATGTTACTAAGACGTTCCTTTGTATACTGTAAAAAAGCATATTGTGCATCGTTGAAAATAAAAATTAATTTAAATCTCTAAATATCTAATGTAATAGAGGTACAATTTTACCAGAAAAACTACATTGACGCCGGTTACTGTGATAAATATTACTGTTCGCGAGCCAAAGTGCTCAAATTAACGTGAGACATTGATTTTCTCTTAAAATAATTGCAATTTTTGACACTTTTGATTATGTTATTTTACAGTATTAGACGATATTTACATTTTTATCATTTTTTTTTTTCTAGAGCTGTATCAACTTTTAAAACTTAAACGGTAACGTTTATAATATTAAATTAACTTTTTAGATTAAAAGGACACGTCATACCCTTTGAAAAATAATCGTAAAAACGCGAAATGGTCGTAGAAAACAAAATGCCCATACCGTTTATTAGAGGAGAACTTGTACTAGGCAGTCCCGTCGGTATTTTTAGAAAACTTAAATTTTACCTTACATACATTAACTTTAGAAGTAAAAAAAATACAAAAATTAAATATAAATTGTTAATGTTGGGTTAATAATATAAAAGATAAAGCCGATCAGGAACCTCTATAAAATTTTTAACAGTTCTCACATTGTCTAAAAAATAAGAAAATTAGTTTAAAACGCTGCCTTACAGGATTTTTGATTCCCAATCCGAATGTTTTATCAGATATTTTGAAAATTTATGAGAACGTGTGTATTCAACGAAGTGGTTGGAATTAAAACTAACAAGTTAGTTCCATTAGCACAATTAACCCGAATAATTTTTAAATATTTATATTTATTAAAAATTAAGAGAACTATTACGATTTTAGTTTCAAGTATTGTTAAGGCGTAATGAAGGATAAGACATTGTTTAATTTTGTGCACATACAAACAATTTTTTACAAACATGTTTCATTTCAATTATTATCAATACTAACATGTGCCAAACTTCATTCTAAAAAAAAGTGTTTATCGACTAAACTTATATATTTTCATGTTATTTTTTAGTTTTTCGGTCCAAACTACTACAAAATAATGTATTTAGTCTAGATTTTTATTTGTTTAGACAAACGCTCCCAGTTTTTTGCGTTTTCTGAAAAATGTAATTTTTTAGCATTAAAGTTTTAAAAATTGATAGCGTTCTGGGAAGTAGATCTAAAAAAAGGTAAACATTTAATTATTTTATAATATTTTTAAAACAAATGTTTTCAAAAAGAAATACTAGACAATTGCAATTAATTTTAGTGTCTCACGTTTAATTGACAATCCTTTTAAAACGAAAATATTTATATTTAATTTTAAGTAAAAAAATTATGTATTCAGCTCAGTTTTACCTGCTAAAAGTATAAAGCGGTATTACATTTAAGACAAAACATTTCACGAGAGCTAAATGATAATTATGTTCCAACATACTTATAACTTCAATATCTCGACAAAAAACTAACTCAGAAAAGGCCTCATTGACAAAATATATTGTACGACCAATAACTTGTTTTTATAAATAATTTAACTTTTACCCTTTTGTTTCTTATCACTTCTTACCACCTGCGTAGTTTGATCAAAAGTAGCTAATTCTAATTTTAACTGTTCTCTGAAACTATTTGCTAAAAATAGTTTTGAAAACAAATAAAGATTTTTTAATACTTGTTTGATGTATCGTTCGAAATGTATTTTTAATGTGTGTTTTTAATGTTAAGTATTATAAAAATCTTTAAAAATTGCTATTTTCACAGATAAATTATAAATAAACTGAAAATAATTTTAAATTCATGCCACGATATCGATACTTTGTAAATGTTATGACTTATGAATAATCCAAATGGTTTTTTTTCAAAACTTAAATCGGATTATTATTAAGAGCGTTTCGTTCGAAATAGAAACATATGTTTTTTTTTACACAATTAGATCCTGTAAGCGTTATAGAAGTAGAAAAATTAATTAAATAAGTATCAAAGTAAGCCCCTTATATCTGTGTCAGTATACTGTATGTTTAACAGTATAGCTAATACTGTTAAATTTCACTAAACAATTTAATTAAATCACCATTATTGTATGTTATTATATAAAAATCCTGTTTGTACATAATAAAATATTATAATAATATTAAAGTGTTAAAATTTCTTTTAGTTATTATTTAATTTTTCGACCAAATGATGTGTCCAGTCCGAGTTTGATCTTAGATTTTCGGTTACATCTGATTATTTTATAATTGCTACTATATTTAACAATAGCATAACATTTTTAAATTTAATTTTGCGTAAACAAAACCCAATTATGCGACATTTGTTAAAATTGGGCTGAAAAATGATTATAACATATAAAACCCTCTTAAATCACAAAACAATTTTTTTGTTTTATATATCTGGGTAGTTCAATCAACTAAACATGCTAAACCGTATGTTTTAAAGGTTAAATTTAGATGCATCAAAAAATAATCCCCAAAAAAATGTTTGTAACTTAATAAAAACCTGAAACTTTGTCCCTGGCTTCAATATCAAATAATTCAGCTGTTGCAATGTTGTTAATTATCCATACAGTTTTGAAGTCTATATTTTAAAAATTAATTCAATAACCAATTAGTAATTATATTTTAAAAAAGTTATTTCAATTACCGTGTTTAGAATGAACTCGCAGAACGCTCTCGGCCGAACGGCTATGTGTATCCAATTCTTAAACGCATTACCCACTCTGTCACTGGTAAATGAAAAACATTTGACACAACTGATAACGACACAAAATCTAAAGGTTAAAAATTAAGTATTAACCTATTGTTTCGACGGTTTTGATTACACGTTTTGTTTTTAAAATTCTTCTAAAATATTTTACAGCAATGTTATATTATTTTGACAAATTATCATCGTTCATCACATATGGTTGACAACCTTAAAAATCAACACTTAAATAAAATAAGACGTACCCGGTGTGCCTTTTTACGATAATTTCTACTCAATATTTGTATTAAAGTAATAAAAACAAAACAAAATTAATTGTTGTAAAATGAATACAAGTGAAAATGTCATTTTCTTATTGCTTTCAAAATTTAAAACAATATCTACAAACAAAAAGAACAGATTTAATTAAAACCTGAACCTACGTCATGTGAATATGTACTTTTAGAGGTGATGCAAATTTTCAATATCTTAAGTTCCATTTTATTTCTTTAATAGTGTACTTAACAAATGGAAAATAACCTATCTAATACAGCTGGTACTGCTCGCTAATATGCTAATTTTTTGTCATCGGAACAACATATAAAATTAGCCCAAAGTACTTATAGAATAATATAACATAAAATTAAAAGAAAAAAATGTATTTTTAATGCATTAATTGCAAAAACGCATTTTAAACTATATCTGTCAAAAAAAAGTAGTTTATTATTTTCAAATTGAGTACAGTTTTTTCTTTTTTTATTAAATTAAAACTCAATTAGTTGTAGTCACTCAACATTATATTATTTTTTATTTGTAATTAAGATCTGTTGAATCCAACAAATTGATAATGCAAGTTTCACAGGTTATTAATATTTGTATACACGTATTTATTGTGTGGTTAAACACTATAATGTTATTATTATATTAATAAAGTACACGAGCGGGATCGCTCCAATCACCCCCTTTGATATCTTACACAAAATGTATTCCTTGAAAACATCGATATTAAAATAAATAAAAAAAGTGTAAATCCTGTATTAATAAATTATAGATATAAGCGTAAACTTTCATGAACAACATGTCGAATAATATTAATTCACAGATTACTGTAGGTATTGTTGTTTTAAGAGGATTGCATCCGGTCTGTTTTTTTTTTCATTATTAAGACCGAATGAAAACGTCGACTACTCAGGATGGTCCGATTTTAATTCTATAAAGACATACAAGTTCCTTGACCACTTTACTAGGTTATGTTGGAAACAGATTTATTTTTTAATTTTTTGATTTTTTATGTGCAAAAAATCGGGTTATAATAATATGAAAAAATTGCAAATTTAATTCATTTAAATACAAATAACAGTGGAATAACCAAAAAAACTCGAATCGAAATTGGTTAGGCCCTCGTTTGACTCTCGGCCCTGTCAAGTATCTTTCAGGTACGATTTCTGATCCATACACGGTTGCGGGAAAACCGAAGAAGCCTGTCGGGCGGCTACGGACTGGGACGATAAGAAATTGGTGTAAATCAAAACAATTAAGATTTAAGCCCCAACACAAAAGCCGGTGTACCATGTTCCACGGGACCGTATTGAAAAACTCTTCGATTGTAGTGATGGTTTTTTTTTTTTTTTTTTTTTTGGGAAACGACTCTTGCCGCCGTGGGAATCTCGGCGGTAATCGCACACAACAAAGGGGGGCAACCGGGACACAGCCTCGGCTCTATTGATCCGGCCTTGCGCCAAACGACGGGAAGTAGAACGAACAGAGCGCCTAACCACGACCGGGGTGGGGCCGGGGGTAGGAGGGGAGGAGATCGGGGGAAGGGATTCGAACGAATATCGGCGGTTTTCGGTGCCCGGGGGAAACGCAGGCACGGCTTACGTGGGCGGGAGTCCGTCAATTGTTGTCATCGGTTAGGGCGCCGCGGCTACCGTTTATTAAGCACCGGCACCGGTCCATCGGCGATCATTCGTCTCCAAACACTCCGGTCGTGCCCACGTGAACACGACTACATTGGTTTGTTCGGAGCGTTAAATATCCGTTCTACGCGCATTCGACGAAAATGGTCAAGATGAACTCGTTCGCCCTGTTGGCGACCATGGTGTTCTTGCTTTGTCTATTCCCCGGCGACGGCGAAGCGGTCAGACCGATGAAACTGTCTCGGGTGTACGCGCTGACCAAGAACATTCCGTACGCCGTCACTTCGGCCGACATATACAACTACACCATTTCCACCGTGAACGAAGAGCCGTTTGTGAAAATCACACTGCTGGTGACCGGCGCGGGTTTCAGGAACGGCATAAAATTGCGGACCACTTCCATCCTGAAGCAGCGCGGGTCTGAATGTTACAGAAATCAGAAACTCAAGTACGTCGACGCCGAAAATCATATGTTCGAACAGGTCAGTAAAGTTAATTATTTACTATGGTGTTGTTTTGGACGAAGGGGGTCTCAAGTCTAAATTTAAAATTCGATTCATAAAAATGTAAGCGGTAAATTGAACTTACCGAAAATCGTTTCGATCCAGTTTGTCGGGGAACAAAACGAGTACGTAATAATTATTATTATTATGAACCATTAAATGCACTCGGTTGCATTTTTGAATTGCTTAAATATTTAATGAACTCAATCGATTATTTTTGCAACACGTTGTATTTCTTATATTATACTGATTCTTTGTGGACTATGGTATTAAATTAAATTTAAATCATTTTGTATATGAGTTAAATTCCGTTTTAGTTAATATAATAGGACATTTTTTGTCCATCGCACAGACCGAAACGAGTGATCCGATTAGTAATCTAAAAACCGATTTGAATTCGTTATGATGTTTACTTGGGATCCTACGAGGTACTTTTTTGATATATATATATATATTCTTACTATGAATAAGAAGCGTTTGAAGATTTTGCTAATTTTATCATTTTTAGCTTGCCCCTTATTAGTGACATTTCTTGCCATTTAAAAAGAGTTAATCTCTGAACTCAATTCAAATTATACTCGTGGCAATCACAAACAACTTCTTATGAGACGGTGGTGGTTTTAATTTGTATTTAATTTAATCCGTTACTAATTTTCGCTATAAACACTACGGTTTTTAATGCTCTTTAATTTTTTTGGTTACCTTCATTTTTTTTAATTTTAAGACAGCCGTTTTATTAAGAATAATTTTCTGAAAATGTTGACTGGTCAACAACCAGTTTTGGATAATTACTTTTAAAGTTATTCAAATTATAAGTTTAGGATAAAAAGTCTTAAAAAATATTCACTAGAACAAAAGTTATTTAATTTGTCAAATGTTCGTGGGACACCTTGTATAATATAATCTATACATCAAATATAATGAAGAATATAAATTACAAAAACATAACGTTTCTTAGATGTGGGCCAATACTACTCACGCGTATGTGAGCATCAAGTTGCAAGTCGACAAGAGTGTCTTCGAGGGTGAGGTATTTTTGTGTGTCAATGGTCCTCGTTGGATAAACGCAACTTCACCACAAGGGCGTTGGATACATCAAGGTACATTCGGTTGGCTCGTATGGCCCGAACACCCTATGATCGTGTTCACCAGGAATTCTATCGATCTGTGAGTATCTATTGTCTTGGCCTAGATGAGTATTGAGGATAAACCTAAATCTCTATCGACTGATGTGAACAACAACAAAAATTCAATTACAAATTTTATAGGAGAGATCGGCCTAAACGGGCTTCGGGAACTGAGCCACCGTCTGCCAATCAAACAACAACTACGACCTTCTTTACAACTACAAGTGGCCACGGAAATAAACACCAGCTGTCCACCAACAAGATTAGTTTCTTGGACGAAACCGTTTGGTTCAACAAAACCATTAAAGACTTGACCGCGTTCGTTACCACCAACGGGCTCAGGTGCAAGTTTCTCGTTGGAGGCGTAAAAAAGGTAACACCTTATCGAGTTCAAAGTTATATCTATACCTCGTGTTTGGTTTTGAAAAAATCAACACGAAGGTTATATTTTAAACCGTATTGCACGCATACATAATATTATGTTTTATTCGTTTGTATTTCAGTCAAATGGGACAGAACAATACGCCAATTCCATGTTGTCGGATGAATACACAGACGTTCCCGGCAAGATGGTATACTTCTGTGTAAACCAATAAATCACACCGGGAAAGCCACAAAACCGATGTAAGCAGTGGTCTTATTTCTTTAATTTTCAATACTAGTTGTAATCCGTTTTATTTGACAATCAATCTTTGGCTGTAAACTTTCAGTGTTTCCCCTACAGTGAGTATAGTGCTAATCGCTCTGTGTGGAATGATGACAAAGTTAGACAGAATAATGAATGAGAATATACGGTATAGAGTATGGGTGTTAGGTACACCAATTTCACGAAAAAATGAGGGGACACAGATTGGGTTTGGTCGGTTTAAGCCCTATTATTAGAGGCAAAGGATGCAAAAAAAAAAACGCTTTAAGATAGAGCTATGTGGAGAGAGCAGATTTGCATGAGACATAGAGATGAAGAAGAATTATATTTAATGAAAATTCGCTATTTTGCTATATGACCTTTTAATATTTTTACTGATTAGTGGTTAGATAGTAATCGTATAAAGGAGAAGGCTGTAGTGTTCCATATATAAGCCCTTAGCAATTTTTATTAGCATATTTTATTTTTAATTAAGGCTTAACTATTTGTTGTGTTATGAAAAATAGAATTGCGACGATTCCAAAATAAATAATTAATTTACAACAGCTGTTGCCTATTCACTTAAATGCAATTTTTTTTTTTTTCAGGGCACCGGAACATTCGAGTAGAAGTTCACATGCACCATTGCACAGCAGGCACAAGATAGATTTCAACATTATTATTATTATTATGCACAAAAATTATTTGTTATAATTATAGTACTGAGGCTTTTGCCCAAAGTACAGCACACACGATGAAATTAAAATATTCGAATAAAATAAAACAGAGCTTCGAACAAGAGTTCATTTTTTCGGTTAACGTTTCATTCATAATAAATTTATTTACTAAAATATCCTAATAAATTTAGAAAAAATACATTTTTCAATTTGTCACGTTTTTGTTTTTATGACTTACGAATAATATTTTTTTTTTTTTAACAAATACATTTTAAATTTCACAGCAACCAGTAAAGTATATCAAGATTATCATTAAAAACAAAAAACAAATAATACAATTTAATCAAAGTATGGTTTTCGATTGTTTGAAGCTCTTTATAGAAATAAAAAGTAGTAATTTATTTCATTCGTGTTAATGTTTTTAGAGCTTGCACTTTATAAAAATATTATACTATCTTACTTTATTGGACCAAAAGTTAAGTGTTTTTATTTTTCTATCCTTTTTCTTTAATCTATAGTTCTGCCCAAATATTAAGCATAATAGTTGCTATTATGTTGGTGTCAATTTTAACATTTAATTTGTATCAAACAACCAATGCTGAGGTAAAAAAAAATCCTGTTGTAATGTTTAACAAAAAAAAAGTGGTATTCCAGAACAACACTTAAAATGTTATAAGCAGCTTTGTAAAAAAAAGGTAAATTAATGGAAAATAAAAGGGTTGACAAAGTTGGTTGACTAAAATTCTAGAAGTTTAATAATAATATATTATACAGTATTTTTTTAAAATACTATATGCACTTATTTTAGAACTAGTCGGAGAATTAATGTAATACAATTTTTAGCTTTTTATTTTAATGTAAGATAATATTTATGGTAGGATATTTATGAATTTTTTCATGATTCATGGACAAAATCAATATAATTAGGTATAATTTTTAAGTATTAAAATTATACCTATTAGTTATGAACTATGATAGGTACATGACAAAAAAGAGTTTTCCTTTTAAGCTGATATATATTAAATAAATTTAATCGAACAAAACCGTTTCTACTTTTAATTTTATAGTTTTCAATTAGAAAATTGTATGGTCTTGTTAGGTATAGGTACTTTCCTAGTTACAATAGGTTATTAATTTCATTCCTTGTCTTGAAAACTGTCGAGAGCTGCTGATTACTACAGTTTAAAGTAATACTATAAAAAAACCATCAACTCATTGCCCTTCGAAAATGTGGGTACTTACAACGCAGAACGCCTATGTGGAAGTCACAAATAAGATTTACTAAACATTTGTATTGAAATTACTCTTGAATAACTCAACTTAGTCATCAATTCAATTTAAAAAAAAAACATCACAGCGACAGTTAAGTATAAAATTAATTTTTTAAAAAATCGTGAAAAAACAAAAAATAAATAATTTGGCAGTGTTGGCTTGAATTATTTCAAATAACATTTTTATTAAATTTTAAAAATATAAACTCTTTTTTTTCGTGTATTTTTTAGTGTGAAAATATAATAAACATTTTTAAAGTTTCGATTTTTATTTGTATTTTTTAATAAATTATTTTAAAAAATAACCCGATCGAGTAATGAAAAATGTAATAACGCTTAAGCATAAATAAAGTTTTTTTCTATTTACTGTGGAAATTTAATGAGTTCACAACAATTCTACGACACTTTAGATTTAATCCGAGAAAAACTTTTTTAATGGAAAAAAATGTTAAATGTATTCTATAGAACTGAACGTGATAGTCTACCAAAAAAAAAAAACAACCAATAAAGAGTCCTTATTTCTGTAGTAACACATTATTCGAATTGTTTATTTTAAGAAGGTGAATAAGTCACCATTTTCAAATGTTTGAAAGGCAATTAATCCGTCAGGTGCCAGTGTTTAAAAAGGGCACAAAAAAGTCCATAATACATTTTCAAACGTTTTTAACTAAAAAAAATAGGAAGCCATTTTAAAACGTTTATATTTAGCAGTTGAAAACGGTCTACAGACAATTTTTAAGAAAACCGACAAAAACAAATATAATAGCTCCATTAAAGATCTAACTTTAGTCTAATTTTCAGGCTTTAAGACCTAAAATAAAAAAAAAGTTTCCATCCTTTCTTGGAGGAACGCATTTTGATATTTTTTTGGTATGTCAACAAGTGTCGTTAGTACTATGCTTATAGAATATTTCAAACAAATTTGAAATTACATAATTCGACTAATTTAAAAAAAGTTTTAGAGCACTATATTTGTAAGTTGAAAAATATGTAGGTACATTTTTGTGTCTTTAAAAATAAAGGGGGGAACATTTTCGAGAAAAAGATAATTGGAACAAAGTATCTTCGGAACATGAGTAAATAAACGTTGGATTAGGTACTCCAAAAATTATTCCAAAAAATATAACTTCCAATATAAATAATAACTGTATATGATATTATTTACATACATAATAATATATTATTAGGTAATTTATATTATATGACAAAATATATAAAAATATATTTGAAATAAATAAAAATTAATCAAATACGTTAGCCAAGTAGTTTTGGGTTGTATCGCTCTATTGCACACAAACCCATTTATGATTTAGTAATTTTATTTATGAAGGGGCTAAGTAACTCATTATTATATTAAAAAGGTTAAGTTAATTTAATTAAACCTTTTTTTGCGGGTTAAACAATTGTTATTAAAAAAGTTTATAAAAGTATAATGCATCTGAATTAAAAAATACTTTTTATATTTTTTTTCAGGTAAACAGTTTTTTTTTCTCATAAGAATTACCTACATTTTGAACAAAACCCCCACCATAAAATATTATATATAATTATTTTTAAATATTCATATATAATTCGATATATATATAGATTATTTTTAGTGATTACTAGAAAATAATGTATTAATAATATATATAAAACTATATCTTTTGACGTTGGTTGCTAGTTCAAAATACCCAAATATTTAATATTCGTAAATTATAAGTAATTCATATTAAATTTGGAGTATTCATTTTGGAAATCTTTATTATTGACTGTGTATGTCACGGAAGCAAGTAATTTAATTATACACACGACACACACTTATGAAAACAGGTTTTAACAATGGTGGTACCTACTTGAAAAAAGATAAATTGAAATTTTTTCAAGAAGTATTATTTTTAATTATTTAGTTGAAAAATATTTATTTACCTAACTATAAATAACATTAATACATGGATAATTTAAAAATGTTTATTGCTGTTAAAATAATACCTAATAGACAATGATGTTCAGATAAAAAACAATACATTTTTGGTTTTATACACCTGGGGCTACTTTTGTGTGTTTAAATGTTATATACATTATTGACATAAAATATGTATGTGTTCATTCCACCCTAATAAGAAATAACTATATTAAATTATCTAATCACATGACACATGCACATCTTATACTATTGTAATCATTCCAGTTTTTACTCCCTGGCTTTATAATACTCATGTAACCAATGCATAAATGCATTTTTACACAGTCTTATACTCAAAAATTATACGTATGCTTTTGAAAAGCATCAACAAAAGTTCCCATATCATCTTTTTTAAATTCTTAAAATAGTTGCCTTTAGACATTATATTATTTTAGCGTTCAACATTCTGTGTTGTTAGACCGTTTTTATAAGTAGGTAGTAATCAAAAATCATTAATTTTTACTTACTGTTCAGTGTTTATTTCATTAAATATATATTATTTCTTTTTTAAGCTGCTGTTGATGCAGCTTTAACTAAATAAGACACTTATTAATATTGACTATTTTTATTTTTTTTATATGGTGTGATTATTATTACTTTATTAATGTAACTCATTTGGAAAAACTTTTTTTTCTACTTGGCTAAAACTGAGTTTTTTTTTTCTAAATCTGATCCCATAGACTTGTTTACTCTCCATAGTGTGTGATTGGTATCTGTATAATGTTCATATAAGTGTTTATTATATTAAACGTCAAAATGAAGGACGTTAAACATAAGATGATTACTCTCCCTCTTTGAGTATACAATAGTGTGTTTAGTATAAATTTTGTAAATCCAGACATTGTTGTCTTTAATTTATAAGCTGCCACCAGATTATAATGCAATAAATAATTATAAATTGTACAAATGATGAATAAGTTAGCTTAGGTAGTTTACCCCTAAACAATTTATGCTCCAATTACCTAATTCCTACACCTAAATATTTATAAATGTCTTGATAATAATTGATTAGTTTTATAATATACTCTATATGATAGTTTCAATACAGTTACATCTCATATGAATCATGGAATACCGTTTTGACCTAGTTTAAGAGGATGACATAACATGAGTGGAAACATTTATACATGAAACAAAGTTGTGACTAACCAAAACATATAGATTGATACCCAAAATATGACTAGCAGAGTGTTCATGATGCCAACCTGCAACAATATTATTAGCACCGGTTACGTGCAGCTCAAAAGCACCGACCCGTTGGTCAACACCCGAAAATCGTGGCCAATTTCTTGAAGCATGGGAACAACTAGAAACAGTATTGGGAGCTATCGATTTCGTAATTCAACCCACTGACCCACTGCAAGGTACTTACTGACATTTGTTTGGAGATGTATTTAAATAATATATTCTTTACCTATTTTTAAGTTCCCATACCATTTTCATATGTGCCAATAATGAATACTAATGTCAAATTATTATGTAAATGAATGATTAACTTTTCAACTGCACATGTTATTATGCAATATGTTATTATATTGTTAAGATAAAAAATGTGATAAATCTAATTTAATGAAAATTGTTGGACACTATTTGTTTTCTGATTACTATACATAACAAATGTTGTTTGTAACTGCAAGATGGGCATGTTTTCTTTCAAAAATAAGTTTATTCGTACAAAAATAAGTTTGCATATTGTCACAAGTCAGGCAACACATACGTTTTACACTAATAAATACACACGCTTAAAGAGAAAAAAAAATTAATAATGTTTTTTAAAGTGCATTTCAGCAGTCAAAAAAAATTTTTAAATTGTATAAAACATTATAAAAAAAAATATTTATCTAAGAAATTAAAT